GGCTTCCTTGCAAGTGCCCTTCTGCCCACCTTTCCCTGCTCACAGCAGCACTATCTCACCCACTCAGCTATCTGCGTGTAGCCATCAACATCTTACAGCGGCTGTAGCTGGCACAGCTTTTGCATCTGGAATATATAAATCTGCAGCACAACCTAGAAAGGTCTCTTAGTATCCCCAGATGACTCTTTTCAATTACCTGTCTTTTCCTCATCCTCCCCAGGAGATAAATTAGGTAAAACCACTGTGATTTACTAACTGTAGTTCTTTCACTGTAAATCTCCTTAATCTAAGGCTGTGTGAGACCAGATCAGTCCCTGGGGACTGTTGCTCCCCTCCAGGCTATTATCAGGCTTCCCACTGTTGTTTAAACTGGTGAAGTTAAAACAACAGGGTTAAAATACTTAAATTATGTTTTTCTCAGAAGTCTCCCAAGTCTTAACTGATCTCTTTGTTACTATAGGGCATAAAACATCACTGTCACCATCAAAAACCTCTTGCTCATTATCTGGGTATCCCCCCTGAAAATGATCCTCAAAGGTTGCCATTGATTATCACTCACAGCTTCCTTCCCAGGCAGTAGTCTGTAGAATATGTATGTATGTGGTTACATACATGAGCATATATATTCAGCCTTGCAATGAGATGATACAGACGGAGGAAATGAAGATGAACCTTTGTACACTGTCTAAAAATAGATGCACAGCATCAAATACATACTTTTTCTTTTTTCCTACCTAGTTTGAGCAGTTTGAAAGCACTATTGGGTTTAAGTTGCCAAATCACCGTGCTGCAAAGCGCTTATGGAAAGTGTGTGTTGAGCACCATACATTTTTCAGGTATGTGGATTTCTTTTCCTAAAAGTGTGATATAAAACTCAACAGAAAAGACCAGTTCTGTCAGCAGAGACAAAACCCTTGAAATCAAATTGTCTTTTTTGGTTACAAGGTATCTCTGAGCAGTCAAGGGAAGGTTATTGCTTCTTCAAAATTTGAAATGTTTCACCCAAATTATTCATACTATTTCAGATAGATACTGAATGTTTAAAATCACCATATGGTCCCAATTAATCGTTCTGCTTTATCCGTGCCATGATATTATCAGCCGCTATAATTAAAGAGACGAAGGACTACTGCACTTTGGCGCATACACTTGTATAGGGAGAACAACTTACATGGAAAGTTACTGGGGGATGTGGGTAAGAGTTTTTTTTTAAAAAAAGGAGATTTTTATTTAATTACATATGAAAATACAGACAGTAATTGGTGGTGTATTTTTGGTCACCCAGAATACCCAATCCATAGCTGTAATTTTTGTATTACTGAGGAATTTTGCAGCTATGTTTTTTACATCTAAGAAGACCTGAGAAAAGTTTGGAATAATGTAATAAATGCTCTAATTAGTATGCACTGAGATAGTCAGCAAAGACATACTTAACAATGGAAACCCAAAAGGGTGAGATTTTCAGTGGCGTGAAAGGGCGTCCAGTGCTTAAAAACCCCTCTCAAAATGTTTGGGAGGACTGAAGAATTTCTCTTCTTTCTTGAAACTTGGTTCAGGCTGTCTGTACGTTCATAGGAAATCCAGTCTTAGCAGCAAAAAATCTGAAAAGAAATTGAGTGTGCATTTTTTGGACGTTTCTGATTTTTAATGGAAAATCAATGTCTAAAGCATAAACTCCATAGCAGGAGAATGGCTTCCTCAGCAAACTGCCATAGCCAAAATACAGAGGGTGGGAAGGCTCTAACCAGAAAAATGTCTGCAACCCTGTGAATTTATACTGCCCAGCATTCACTGGAAATCTGTTCTGGCCCTGTCCTCTGCATAGCAGCACCATGTTAAATTTGAAGCATGAGGTATATCTGTATTTCAGGCCAGATCAGGGTCCCTGATACAAGGAACACCTTATTTTTAGTTTTGGTGATTAGAAAATAATAAATCTGATGTTCAAGCAAGAAGGGACTGAGTGATCCTTGCCCATTAGGAAGAACTCAGCTCTTCAAATGCATTAACTATGTGGTTTTGTCGTGCTGTATGAGGGGCGTCCTTTGATTCCCTTTTAGCTGCGGACCCGTGAGGTGACGATGGAAGAGTGATACCCAACAATCGTCCTCTCTCCTCTGCAGAAATAGCAGACTGATTTTTGGAGGAGGGGGAGTAACGGGTGCACTGCTTGGTGTGTTTTAGGCTCCTGCTGCCAGAAGCACCTCCAAAGAAGTTCCTTACGCTGGGCTCCAAGTTTCGCTACAGCGGCCGGACGCAGGCCCAGACGAGAAGAGCCAGCGCCCTCATAGACCGTCCCGCACCTTACTTTGAGCGGTCTTCTAGTAAACGTTACACTATGTCTCGCAGCTTAGATGGGGGTAAGGTCCTCTCAGTTGACTTTGTCAAAAGTTATCATCACGGTGGTCACTGCTTTAGATTAGGTATAAACCTCTTGTCATCGCATCTCCTTGAGCTTCGGCTGAGTGAAGGCTGTGAGTACCGGCACGTTCACTGCAGGGGTAGGGGAGGATGCAGAGAAATACTCTGCTAAATGCTCTGCTGCGGTCCTTAGAAAGTGTTCGCCTGGAGGAGGTCCTTGGGAGCCCACTCTTCTTGGAGCCTCTCTCCTTGGCCTCACTCCTGCCAAGCACTTCCCACCTGTGGAGAAGGATGGGGCACCTGGACCTGCCAGCCTGGACCTGCCTGCCCGAGCAAGTCAGGCCTCAATGCTTTTTCAGGGTTTGCATGAGGAGCTGTTTGGGTTTTGGTTTAACTTGGCTTTTTTTCCTATGTGGGTTTTTCATTTAAGTGTATGTTACAATTCATAAATGAATTATTTCCCTTGATTAAGTAATAACACTTGCTTCCGATTACCTTGCATCCTAGTCGGATGAGCACTAACAGGCTTTTTCCATACATTGCTTTTGAAGGTGTGAGATGGAGAGTAACATACGCAGGTTTATAGTATGTTCTTCCTACTCCTCTCTTTCTCCGTGGTTCATGGAGGTCATGGTTCTGCTGCTCTCTTAGGTTAAACCAGCATGTGATTCAGTCTCAGCTAATTCATCAGCTGTTACTGTTGTCAGCTGTTGAGTAAAAAGAGGTTATAGTTTATTTTTGTAGAAAACAAGACTGAGATTTGTCGTGTTTTACCCCCAGCCAGCAACTAAGCACCACGCAGCCGCTCGCTCACTCCCCCTACCCCGATGGGATGGGGGAGAGAATCGGAGGAGTAAGAGTGAGAAACACTCCTGGGCTGAGATAAGAACAGTTTAATAATTGAAATAAAGTAAAATAGTAATGCTAATAGTAACAGTATAATAATGATAATAATAATAATGATACACAAAGCAAGTGATGCACAATGCAATTGCTCACCACCCGCCGACCGATACCCAGACAGTTCCCGAGCAGCGATCGCTGCTCCCCGGCCAACCCCCCGCAGTTTCTATACTGAGCATGACGTCATATGGTATGGAATAGCCCTTTGGCCAGTTTGGATCAACTATTCTGGCTGTGCCCCCTCCCAGTTTCTTGTGCGCCTGGCAGAGCATGGGAAGCTGAAAAAGTCCTTGACTAGCATAAGCAGTACTCAGCAACAACTACAAACATCAGCCTGTTATCAACATTCTTCTCCTACTAAATCCAAAACACAGCACTATGCCTGCTGTTAGGAAGAAAATTAACTCTATCCCAGCCAAAACCAGGACAGTATCCACCCCTTATTCTATACCATCTACGTCATGCACAGGCCCTCCCCTTTCCAATGTGTTCCAATTAATCACCACCCCTTTCCCTATCTTGATATACACACAGATATCATTCCCTTCGTCTATGGCCCATCCCTCTAAAAAACCAGGACAGACTAAATTCAGAATTGCTACCATTTTTAAAAAAAGGTGAATTCTCCTGCAGAATATCACAAATGAATTGCAGAGAATATAGCTGATAGTGGGGAGGGGGAGAAGCTTTGATTTAAAAGTACTAGTGACAAGCCTTCTTTTCTCCCCCTGAAGGTTCTGCTTGTCATTAATTGTTTTGGAATCTTCTAATTCTGATGTGCTTCTTGCTCATACCAAGCAACTGGTGACCTGATTGCTGTGCATGTGTCTCAAAGCAGAAATTATCCTTCTGCGTTATTTTGTTTGTAACATCTAAACAAGATGTCTCCCTCTACTCCCTTTGCTTTTGCCTGCCTCCTAAGCTCATTCCCGAGACAAGATACTGAAACACTTTTCCCCAGCATTTGTTAGACTCCGCAAGGTTTTTATGATGTTAATTTGCGTTAAGCGCAAGTGGGGAAAAGAGGTTTTTTAATCAATGCTTATGATTTCTTCACTGATGTTGTTACTGTGTAGTAATGTGGCTGTAACATTCTGCATCATGATTACGCTGTGATCCCAGCCCTGTCATTTGTTACAGATGCAAGTAACTTTATAAATTTGGATATCCCTATTGACATAGAAATTAGTTACACAATAGTCAAGAGCCAGGTCTGGATATAATATTAATGTTTTGATTACATTCTATCTGTAAGTTTACCGTTTATTTCAAAATCATTTATATATATTTAAGTTTGCTGAATTATTGAATGTTTACATCCTAAAATATTCTGGTTTGGTCCACTGAATTGAATGCCATCAGTTCCCGGAATTTTTTAGGATAATGAGCTCACTTAACTGGCAGACTTTAGTACTTGATAATACAAAGATCCCATTTCTTGATTCTCAGGTAATATGCCTGTGTTATATCAATATTGTCATTTGCTGTAATGCAGAACGTTACTTACCGTGCATTTGATCTGCATTGTTATATTCTGACAGATTTCCAAAAAAAAAAATCTCTTCCACCCCCATGGCTGATGTCATAGCTGGTTCTTATGTTTCCTGCCTGATAACAGTGGCAACGCATTGATTTTTTTTCTGATATTTTACTACAGTAGCACTTTTAACGGCTTGCTAACATTTAACAACTGTGTAATGCACACATTAGCTACAATAATGTGTGTATACACATCCATAATGTATGTTTATGCATATAAAAGCTACAAGCTTTATTTCAAGTAAACAGTTTATTTAAATGTATGCACATGCTTCTGGTTTCCTGAAACATGACATAGTTGTGTTTTCAGCAATATCTCAAATGTTTTACTAACCCGGCTTTTTAATTTTATGCAGCTTCTCAGCAAAAGCTATTTCAGACTTTCCCTCTTTAAATATTTGCTTTTAGCATCAGTGAATGAAAACCATGAAATGTACATGAAGGATTCTGTGTCTGCTGCAGAGGTTGGTACTGGCCAGTACGCCACAACAAAGGGCATCTCTCAGACCAACTTGATAACCACTGTGACTCCAGAGAAAAAGGCAGAAGAAGAGAAAGATGATGAAGAGGGCAAAAAGAAAAGAGCAGAGGAAGTCACCCCGGTCTCGGCAATACGCCATGACACCAAGGTAGAGTTTGGAAGGTTTTGTATTAAACTGACCTGCCTGGAGAGTGCTCGGAGACACGCACAATTGTTAGGCAGGGAGGAGATACCTAGTTCCGTGAAAGGAAACAAGAATATACGTGGTTGTATGTGCGTGTATATACGTGTCTTGAATCAATATTTTTACAGTCCTTTCGCATTTCATATGATGTTGTAAAAGTCAATTCCTGCCTCGGACTGGTTTTTGAAATTTGTTTAACAGTCAGCACAGTGTTTTTTACATAGCATTCAAGAGCTCCTTAGGAAATACCCAAAAGTAGCCTACCAGTGCACGTTTTGCTCCTCTGGTCTTCAGTCGTACTTTGACTTTAGTATGGACTGTTTTGGTTTGTTTTTTTTTTTTTGACAAGGCAACGAAATAGTTCTGTGTTCTTCTATGTAGCTCTGTGCTTTAAACTATTGTATTTTTCTCATTTACTTCTCATAACACTCTGTTTCCTTGCATGCATTTCAATGAGCATTTTTCTCTGTTAACTTTTGGGTATTAATATACTATTTTAAGCTTTTTTTTTCTGGCTTACAAAGGCATTTGCTTCCCTCATTTGAAGTTTTGCATTGAAGAAAACTGTTTTTGTTGATGATTCTCTGCTCAGTTGTTAGATTTGATTCATCCCTCACCATCTCCAATCCCACTACCACCGCATACATGTACACACACGGCTGTGCATTATATCTACTGAGTTATTAAGATGGGGTAAATCAAACACGGGGACAGAGAAGATACTGAATTTCAGAGCTTGACAGTGAAGAGAAATAAGGTAGAATCACAAAAGATCAGGTGTAAAATGTCCTCTGTTTCTTTTACATTGAGGAGAATAAAAGAGAATTTGAAATACTGAATCTAGGATACCATTCAAAAACTGTACTATGGAATGCACTTGCTAAACAAGTAAGATTTACCCTCTTCATTTATGAGGAAAAACCTTGACATGTACCTTTACACCAACAAAACTGCCATGCGTGCAAATCATAGAACCTGAACTAGCCTTATCATATAAGGCCACGATGAGCTACATAGCTATAGGATCAAGTCCTCAAAAAGAGCTGCAATTAAAGTACCAAAAATCAGAAACAAATTGAAATACTGAAAATTGCAGATGAGAAAATATTTTCTTTTGGAAGTGTGGACTGTAATTGTAGCATTGAAAAAATAATCTCTGTAAAATTTAACTGGGGTCTTCTTGAAACTCCATTAGTTTCTGCATGGAGAAATATTGATGAAAATCAAATATGCAGAAAACATCCAATAGAAACTAATTCTGTTCTGAGTGTTTGCTAATTTAGGTCAATGGAGAGATCAGCTGCATTTTGAAGATCATATGTTCCTTATATATGGCTAGAAATAGTCAAAGATATTTTTAGGAGGATATCTTGGTGGTACTTAAACATGCACAAATTAATGATTTTTAGCCCCCGCGCCCTGCAAGAGGTGGGTTCTATTTAAACCATCCGCTAATAGAGCTTCAAGTTCTGTATGCCTACAGAGATCTGTCCTGTTTTCCACTGGACCTGCTAACACCTTCATCATTCATTAAAAAGAAAATAGGGTCTCAAGAAACACAGGACAAATTTGAAATCAAATTCCTGTTTAAGGGTATATAAATTTTATAGGTAGGTTTTCAACTTCTCCACTAAGACATTTTTCCTTTGTTTTATCTATATGTATTTAAGTACCAGAAGTTATTTTAAATATTAACACTGCAAAGATGTCAGTAAGTGAACAGTCTGTATTTGCAAAGAATAAATTTACTTTAGCAATTTTGCCTTTACAATATAAAGAGAAGTTCTGTGTATTTAGCTCACGTAAAGTCCTGTGAGTCCATCGGCATTAAAGTTTGACTTGAGCTTACTGCATTAAGCCCATAAAGAAGACATTCATAAGCACTTTGAAGTTAGGCTTGATTGTGATTGTTTAATTCAGGAATACAAATTGCCTGACCTGATAGAGCGGTTTTTTTAACTGTTCTGGCTAGAGAAGAGAGAGAAGCAAAATATTAAGGGGAGGGGAAGGAGCTCTTCTGTGTAAATATTTGGCTTAAATCACATTCCTACTGTTAATATACCTGGTAAAGATTAGGCTTAGTAGCTAGCATTGGTGCAACCTGTGTGTAAATCCTGCTTGTTGGCTCAGATTTGACGCCAGCTTGTACAGGCAAATGCTGGTTTGGCTTTGAAGTCATTCCGCTCTGGGGAGCTGGGAGTGGCAGTGGGAGTGAAATGCCTTTTATAGCCCCTCAGGGAGATGCATGGTGGATGGAGCACTTAGGGTTTGGTCATGGAGCCAGCGTGCCGCTTTAGCTAAGTGCGCCTAGTTGATTTTGGCCAAAACATCTCTGATGTGTCAGCATTGTGGCAGGTCTGTTGTACCAGGGTATTTTGGTGGTGATGGCTGTTGCTGTCCTACAGAGCGGTTGTGGCTGCCCACAGGGAGCATCTTAGGTGACGG